CCATGCCTAAGGCATTACAATACGGTGTGGTACCCAGTCCTCCCATGCCTAAGGCATTACAATACGGTGTGGTACCCAGTCCTCCCATGCCTAAGGCATTACAATACGGTGTGGTACCCAGTCCTCCCATGCCTAAGGCATTACAATACGGTGTGGTACCCAGTCCTCCCATGCCTAAGGCATTACAATACGGTGTGGTACCCAGTCCTCCCATGCCTAAGGCATTACAATACGGTGTGGTACCCAGTCCTCCCATGCCTAAGGCATTACAATACGGTGTGGTACCCAGTCCTCCCATGCCTAAGGCATTACAATACGGTGTGGTACCCAGTCCTCCCATGCCTAAGGCATTACAATACGGTGTGGTACCCAGTCCTCCCATGCCTAAGGCATTACAATACGGTGTGGTACCCAGTCCTCCCATGCCTAAGGCATTACAATACGGTGTGGTACCCAGTCCTCCCATGCCTAAGGCATTACAATACGGTGTGGTACCCAGTCCTCCCATGCCTAAGGCATTACAATACGGTGTGGTACCCAGTCCTCCCATGCCTAAGGCATTACAATACGGTGTGGTACCCAGTCCTCCCATGCCTAAGGCATTACAATACGGTGTGGTACCCAGTCCTCCCATGCCTAAGGCATTACAATACGGTGTGGTACCCAGTCCTCCCATGCCTAAGGCATTACAATACGGTGTGGTACCCAGTCCTCCCATGCCTAAGGCATTACAATACGGTGTGGTACCCAGTCCTCCCATGCCTAAGGCATTACAATACGGTGTGGTACCCAGTCCTCCCATGCCTAAGGCATTACAATACGGTGTGGTACCCAGTCCTCCCATGCCTAAGGCATTACAATACGGTGTGGTACCCAGTCCTCCCATGCCTAAGGCATTACAATACGGTGTGGTACCCAGTCCTCCCATGCCTAAGGCATTACAATACGGTGTGGTACCCAGTCCTCCCATGCCTAAGGCATTACAATACGGTGTGGTACCCAGTCCTCCCATGCCTAAGGCATTACAATACGGTGTGGTACCCAGTCCTCCCATGCCTAAGGCATTACAATACGGTGTGGTACCCAGTCCTCCCATGCCTAAGGCATTACAATACGGTGTGGTACCCAGTCCTCCCATGCCTAAGGCATTACAATACGGTGTGGTACCCAGTCCTCCCATGCCTAAGGCATTACAATACGGTGTGGTACTCCAGTCCTCCTAAATGTATTAAGTAGTGACATGCGATTACGCAAGAAAATTGAAAGCGCGGATTAAGAAAATGACCGCCGACTTAGGAAGTTCTTGATCAATAAACAAATTCTCCTTGTCTGTCACAGCAGATGCATTGAGAACAGTGTGGAGAATATTCAATTTGAAGTCAGAGCTTAAAGGGATAATATAGGTCACAAGGTCCTTTGACAAAGGCAGCAGGGGAGTCGCCTTTGATTTGTGTCTTCTTTAAAATTTACCACACAGCTGCAGCACATCTCAATCGTGATGATGATGATGATGATGAACTTTATTCATGTGTCAATTATAAAATAGCAGTAATAAAACCACTAAGTAAGGACACAACAAGATAATATTGATGAAATAACAAATAACTAAATATTAATATACGATTAACCGTCGTTACACGCGTCTCTTGAAATCCTTTCCGGATTATTACGCTTTTCGCTGGCTTTCACGTCTTGTAAATACAGGTAAAAATTCTCTGGTAAGCAGTTTGTTCATTGAAGCATGGCCTTCCCCGAAGATAGTTTTCCTTCTAGCCGAGCTGATTTAGATAACTATGATAAAAAATTACCCAGCAACGTAATCAAATCATGACGCACGAAAATGAAACGTGAAGTTCTGGTTTCCTTTTCTAGCTCTATTTTCTTTAAATGACATGCACAGTCCATATTACTGCCTGTCTGTACAAGAATACTGTGCATGTTGCATGTTCATTTTAGAGACATTCACATTTTCATCTAGAGGCAGCGGCTAGAGAAAGTTTCATCGCGGAAACATTTTTTCAAGCATTTTTTTTTTTGAGATTGAGGTAAGAAGTAAGTTGTAGTACATTTTTTTTTTTTGCGTTATCCAACACACGCGTACGTTAAATTTGTTTGAACACAAATCGACAACTTGACGACTACCCTGCAAATTTAAGTCGCCCAATTTTAACTTGTTCTCTTTTTTCTACTCGCCCTGGCGGTTGCAAGTTAGAGTGCTACATGGAAACTGTTGAAATTTGAAGATTCGTCATTCTGAAGCTAGAGAATTTGATAACGTTTATTTCTATTTCATATTCAGCCTCAGTCGTTTCAATATATCTATCTAACTTGTTTTCCTGGTAGATTTAGACCAATCAACGATTATAATATAAATTTAAAATTTTCTCCAAGGTTTTTTATTTTAATACGTTTTCCTGTCTTTACTTTGCATTCAGAATCTTTTTCAAACAAATTTCTATGACCCAAAGCAAACTTGTTTAGTTCTGTTTTGTTTTTCAGTTATGGCTGAAGATAAGTTCTCACAATCAAAAGAAGAACTGGGTCTGAGGTGCAAGATTTCCTCAGGTGATATAGATCTTATTAGACGTTTTGTTGTGTAGTATCGCTGAGTATTTTTACGAGCCCGTAGGGCGAGTCAAAATACAAATAACGAGTAAAATACTCTGCGATACTACACTACAAAACGTCTAATGAGTTATTTATTATCCAACACGCCAAATTGTTATTTCAGTGCGAGCGAATTTCGTGGATATTTAATTAAGGAGAGTGCGTGACAGAAGTATGCGAAGCGGAACGGAATTGCGCGTTGTCGTGCTGCTGTTTCTATTTTTTTTTCAATAAATGAAGAAATTTCTTGGTCGTGTACCTTTTTTTCTTCGTTCCATTCCGACTCTTCGTCGTCAGAAATATGATTCAGATTGTCCGCCAATTTTTTTCGTACCTTCCATCCTTCTTCGCTTGCGCGATGCGAGAAAACCTGTCTAACCGGTTCTCTGGAGTACAAATACCGCGTGATATTTGTACTCGTCTATGGCGTTATTTGTACTCTACGAAGTGTAGTTGGATAATAATACCATTTCATTGTAATTCTGCTTTAGTCTTCTTCATGAAAGTTTTAAACAGTAACTACCTTTGAAACTTCATTATCAACCGAGTTCTAAAATTCATAGTAACCAGGGTCTCCCAAAGGGGTCCTCGTTCCCTTGTTCTCTTCCAAAATTGTCCTGTGTTCCCATGTTCCCACACTGTTTCCTTATTTGTTCCCCGTTTAATAAATTTGCTTGCCACTTATCACCACCCTCAATTCCCTCCCGCAAAAAAGAAAGACACCAAAAAAAAAACTTATAAAAGAATAGAATACATTTTATGTGACGTTCAATTTGTGTGACATCATCTCCAACAACTGAGTGAAATTCCCAATCCATCAGAGTGGGATGAGCTGTACAACTAACCTTAATTCTCCTGGTCAATCATCATAATATATAAACTCGTCCAAATTTTCCCTCTTCCTTGCGGTCTTTATTTCTTATATCACAATATTCTCTCCTCTAATTTGTACAGTTTTGTTCCCCTGTTCCCCCCAAAAATACGCTTATGTTCCCTTCTTCCCCTCAATATTTTGCCAATGTTCCCTTGTTCCCCAAAACCCCTGGGAGATCCTTAGTAACGCTCGCCGTCGAGCTGCACTTCGACATTATGAAGTCAAGAAAAAACGACGAAAAAAATGGAGTTAAACAATATTAGTTTTGCAAAATTCATGTGCTACATTGAAAAGCTATGACTCATATAGAGCAACTTCAAACAGTGACGTTTCAGTTTTCGTTTTAAATTTCTTTTTCGAATCTTGAGAAAGTCTCTTAGATTCCTCTTTCCACGGTAATTCTTTTGTTTCAGTTGTCATTTCCTCTGTTCAACCTCGTTACACTTGAAGCCAAAGTAACCCTAAAATCCGTATTGTCTTCTCTAATTAAAGTGGCTCACCAAATTTCTAATCGATTTAAATTGTGAAGAATACATGACCGAAGAAAAGAAGACACAAGTAGATATTTTCTGAGGAATCCACAGTAGGAATGATAAAAATACTGGTAAAATTAGATAAACCTACATCGGTTGACACTCTCGAAAAAGAACGATTTTGAAAATCCAGACTTGATTTGCCAAAAGATTGCCTACCTTGAGGAACGTGTCGAAGAGTGTGACTGAAAAAGGCTCAATAAAAGACTGAAACGTGAATTATCAGCTAAGTATGAGAAAATATACTCAATATCCACGCCATACACAAAAAAATTAGAACTAAAATCTAGAACCAAAGAATCTTTACTGTAATTAATCCTGCAACTTTTTAGATCTTCGGACTCACCTTTTCTTCGAACCAGGAGAATCTTGAAGCAGTCTCATTCAAAGTTTCATTTGCAGGAGAGTCACGCTAACACTGGGGTGACCTCTTTTTTAGATAGAGCCTCGGAAATTCAAGGAAAACTGGATATGGATGATGAGCTTTCTTCAGGTGGGGAAAACAGAAATCAATTGCACTTCTCAAGTTTCTATCATTTTTAAGAAGGAGAAGGACCTGAAGCAAGAAATGTATGAAAATAAACAAACAACTCAGTGATCATTAAATAAGAAGCAAAAAACAAACATACAAACAAACCGCGGTAAGCGAGTTTAGTAATTGTACTCTACATCTACACTTAAAATAATATGAATATATCAACAAAGTTGATATATTCGCTCCGACGAAGGGCTAACGCTCGAAACGTCAGCTTTTATAACCGTTTACCATTTCAACTTTGTTGATATATTCAAATTATTTCGTTACCCCCACCGACGCAGCGCCAAACAGTTTCTTTAGAAACTATCAGCCTTTATTATGTGTTAGG